GATAATTAAAATGTACACAAACTAAATAGATGGAATATACCAAAGGGAGAATTAAAACTCTTAAGTATAAAGAGACCAACAAAATCATGGCAAACAACGAAAACCGACGAAAAACAAAAAGCAGTCTATAAAACAACTACATGAAAACTAAGACTAAGCAACACGAACCCTCTGAAAGGGTTAGCAGATCCTGCTCAACATCTCGGACGCTTATTGTATCAAACCGTTAATTATCTTTTTTCAATACAACTAGTATTTGCAGACAGCCTATGCTCATCCTCCTTTTAAAGAATAGGCCTATCTGCAAAGTCAAAGAAATGTAAAAAGAAATGTGTATGTATATATCATTGTAGAATAGGCATAACAATAACAAGCGTGGGGCCAGAATGTAAAATTGTTCAGGAGGGTTGTACTCAACGAGCAGTTTGGAAGTTGGATAGCAATAAAGAATGCTCTTCGGTTACTGCAGTTGGCAGGTAAACCAGTGGGACCCTGATTCGTTATTGGTGGAAGCGTAGTGGTATTTTGGAATTAAAGCCATGTTCCAGACCGTATGACAGGTTTAACATGATAAAAATATACATAAGTATATATTAAAGAAGAAATTGTATTGTTTTGTTGGAATCTATATTTTGACCATTACAAGTTAGTTACAACGGTACCGGTATAACCGTATGACAGACTCAAATATATGTCCAGCCTCAAATCTGTGTCCTTTCCTTGGAGCTGTGCCCTATCCTATATTGTCTATTCTTTTCTCAAATCTTCGTCCTTTTTAGCAAGTCGATGTCAAGTGTTGATGTCAGAATTATCAATATGTCATAAAGGACATCAATAACACTTTTATATTCTAATTAAGTTGATATCAGTTGATGCCATTGAAAAGCAAATGTGTGTTGAACTATTAACATGGGAGCATATAGTTTCTCGCAACAAAAAATTGTAAAAGAATTTTTATCTTTCAGTCAGAAATTAATCCAATGTTTACATTTTTTATTATTTTTTCTCAATAAACACACGTTAGCCAAAGAGCTTTTGGAGAGTTCGTTAAATAAGTAACAAAGCCTTGAATACCAAACGGTAATTTTTTTTTTCGAGTATTCTAAGATCGTAGTCCAAATAATTACGACGTCTCGAAGGCTACTTTAATTTTTTGCCGTGAAGCCTTACTATGGCCAGAAAAATAGTAGCATTTCAATATATTTTTGTGATACTCTTCCTGAAACCATTTACATTCATCTTTCAAGAGATCAAATAAAAAATATATGCATTTCGCCTCATTTAAACTTTTTCTGAACCATAGTATTTTGACACCCATACATATACTTCTTCTTAAGGTAAGCCCAAGGCTGGACTCTCCTACCAGTCGGCATAGTTACTTCAGTCATTATGGAGAAGTTAAGGATTAACCTTGGAGCTAGCCCAACCAGTTACTAGACAGACACCCAATTATATAGGTTTTAATGTATAAATAACAGAATTTTTTAGATGGACATAGACTAGGGGACTACATCTGAGTACGCCTGACATGAGTAGCGCAACTAAACTTAAAACTGTCAGCAACGACTCCTGTTTTAGCAGAAAGAAGTTTTAGTCGCTTTTTAAATACATTCATCTCAAAAGCTTACAAAACCTTTAAACAGACTTATTCAGAAGCGATATAGTTACGATACTGTTGTCAGGTCATTAAAGATGACATATTTTGGTATTAATATTGATTCACTTATAGGGTCTTTGCATCGGAAATAAACACATTTATTCTAAAACCATGTTGGCATGATACGGGTTATGTTCTTCTCATATATTTTATGATGGTATGATACTAAACCCCTCAAGGGAGGGATTGTGCTTAATTTTCATATGTTGAAGACTAGTCTTTCAATCAGTTAGATTGAGGTCTGGAGCTGGCATTCATGTCAGTAACTGCTAGTAGTACTTTGTTAATTTATGTATCATTGTCATTTTGCTTAGTTTCCTTTGTTATCTATTCTGACAACGGACTCATACTTCTTTTAACATGAGTTTTACTGTGCGTTTTGCTGTCTGTTTGTTTATTCTACATTGGCTAGAGGTATAGGGGGAGGGTTGAGATCTCACAAAACACGTTTAACCCCGCCGGATTTTTGCGCCTGTCCCAAGTCAGGAGCCTCTGGTCTTTGTTAGTCTTGTATGTTTTTTTAATTTTATTTCATTTATATGTATTGGAGTTTAGTGTGACGTCCATTTTCATTGAACTAGTACACCTGTTTGTTTAGGGGCCAGCTGAAGCCCGCTTCCGGGTGCGGGATTTTCTCGCTGTGTTGAAGACCCATTGGTGGCCTTCGGCTGTTTTATGCTCTTTGGTCGGGTTGTTGTCTCTTTGACACATTCCCCATTTCCATTCTCAATTTTATGCATCGATCTATAGACCTATTTCACAAAGTCTTAATTGACTGTGTCTCTAGAAGTATAAATGCTGCATATATTATTTTTCATATTCAGATGCAGCTCAACGAGTTCTTCCAAAATGCATACAAAATTAAGCAAAATCCGGAATATAGCCCAATTACTTACACTTTGCTGTAGTATAGACCAAAATTAATGCAGGACAGTAGTTACAGAATATTGACTCTAGAACCTTACAAGGATACAATGGCTACAGTATGGTTACACTCAATTACACTTTAAATAAGAATCTAAAATTGCGGGTTTATATTGGTATCATTTACTTTAAAGATTTATGTACTTTTTTTTTTAAAGGCGTCATTCCAAAGCTCCCTATTAGATTTTAAATCAATATGTAAGAGGACAAGGTTGCTAACAGACTAAAAGGAGTTCATAAAACGGGTTTTTGGATTATAATTGATAACCCGAAATGGGAATGCAGTGAAACATTTAGTGCTGTACACACCGACCTGACTGCAGTAGCCCATTTTCAACTGTTACACCCACTATCTAAGGTTGTGGAAGGGTTGAACGAACAAAACACATCTAAACCCGCCGCATTATTGGTGTCTGTCAAATTCAAGAGACTATAGTCTAATGATTGATGTTGGTTGGCGTCTGTCATAAGTTTTTCAAGTGTAAACTTTCATAATTATGCTCTGGATACTCTTTTGATCATAAAAAAGTTTCTACCTATATTCTGTAAAATTTCATAAAGGTTTTACAAATTTATTGATGTTTAAAAAAATATTTAACCACAGGCTGAACATAAATATTGACGACGCCAACGCCGATTACGGAATGTCTCGCAGGCTCGACAAAACTGCATATCGTATCTCAGCAGATAATGAATTGCTTTAAACTATAGGAAAGGGAGGATAATTCACAGTAGATTCAGATTTTGATAGAAAACGAACAAATAAATAATATGATACCATTTGATTAAAAAGTAAATTTCTTCCGACTGTTATATTCAATTACAAGTCAGTGTAGAAAGAACTACAAGGCTCATGTGCTTTTAGCCAAATCTTTTAATTTATTTAGATTAAAATATTTTTTCTCCAAAATTCATGTGTACGCCCGGGCGTTTTGACGTAAACGTAGCTACGCGCCTGCGAGCATGTGACCTATAAAATCACTGACCGACACTTTACAATGTTATCCAGGTGTTAAAAGTACAATTTTAAATGTCAATTATAAGTAAAGATAATGTGTAGATTGTATAGTGTGTCTTTTGATGTATTTTATGATATCTAATGTAGAATGTTATAAATCCTTTGTACGCAAACTCTGTCTGTGTAATGAATATGAATGTATAACTTATATTCAAAAAAATTAGAAAAGATTTTTTTTTTGTAATAGAGTCCACCGTTTATCCCTGGACGATGGACCATTGTAAACACAGGGCCCCTTGTGTATACTTCCCTGGGTTATACAAGGTAAATTATATTCAGGTGATTTTCAATAAATGTATTTCAGGTCTTAAAAAAAAAAAAAAAAAGTTTTTCAAGTGTAAATCAGGATGTCTGTATTCTTTTTTTTAGATCGTTTTACATTTAGTCATCCCGGGGCATTTTGGGCCTTATATACAGTTTTAAAAATTCTTGGAACAAAATATACGGGTATTGCACCAAAATGTAATAACGATCAATGCTTTCAACGTGTCGACTTTTAAACTCACTCTTTAGAAAATACAATTTTTTTATAGTCAATGTGAAAATAACGCAAATATATCCCTGATATATAAATCGTTAACGTATTTTGCACATCTGAATTCACATTCACAGGCAAATTTGTACATGAGAATGTTTACATGCACACGTAAATTTTCACCATGTGAACGGGCTAAAGAGACAATTTTGGGGCAATTTTTTCAACAGCATATGTCATTTTGATTAAAGGTGATTTGATTAAAGGTGGTGATCTCGGTCTGACCTTTACGAAATTATGCTTAAAACTGTCTCAAACCATTCTTTTGTGACACGTTTCTGTACATTCTACTTAGTATCTGATACATACATTAAGCGATTGATACTGTAGTGTTTACAAATTATAAAAGTATCACAATAAATGTGCGGAATCAGATCAGTGACAAGCTTATTTATCTATCAAATTATGTATGATCAATGGCATGTATCCCGAGTTAGCGTTACTATTGTTGTTGAGTATCGTGGCTTACGCGTCAACATTTTTATGACGTAACATTATCCGATTTACATCTATCATGTATTAGCAGCTACATCAATACAATATGGAAAACATTGATTTAGTATTGTCACGAAAAGCGACAATCGATTTATAATGGTGGAAGCACCGTACTAAATTATTTCCATGATATTAAGTACATTAAAACTGTGTGTTATTGACTTTCGATCTGTTACACATTCTCTGGTCAGTCATGATTAAGCAAATTTATTTTTAGAAAATCAATTAATGTGAATAACATAACATCTGGACACATTCCTTACGTTTTTTTATTAACAAATGAATTATAAAATAATATCAAACATTGAATATGTCAACAAAGAGAGTCACGTATTTGTCAATACCATTTCTCGTTGACGAACAACTACTGTATCGATCGAAGCTATGGCATCAATGTATTGCCTCAGCCAGTAAGCATCCTCTACATTACACTGAAAGAACATTATTTATATCGCATGCACGGAGAAAATTAATTCCCGTCAAAACTGTATATTATCGTCATGTCATGTAACCATGACGACACATAGAGACTTTACCACGATGGCTGACAATACGGTACCCGGAATAAGACATGGAAATGGTGTAATTAGAAAAACAATGCAATGTCTGTAACATCTATAGAACTTCAACTGGAAAGTGAAAATTTGGTATATTTCTCTGGACAGCGTGTTAAAGGAGCATTAGTTTTACAAATTGGTCTACCCGTCATTATAGCAGGTAGGTGCCAAGTAAGGGTGGGGCATTTGAAAACAAAAAAATAAATCTGCTGAATAATGAATATCTATTCATATTTTTGTCGAACACAGTATGTTAATTTTTTAAACAAATGAAACTGCATTGATTTGTAGTCGTGCTACATTTATAAACATAAGAACCGCGTTTTAAATTTGTTTACCCATTAGTATCATAAATACTGTTTGTTAATAAGGAAATCAAAACAGTGTAAGAAAATGATCATTCGAAAACCAAACAACAAAATAAAAGAAGACAAATCGAAAGGGATTGATTGTATATGTCCTGCAAAATATTCTCAAATAGATTTACCGTTATATGTAAGACGTCCATTATTTTATTTGTTTATTATAGTATATACATAAAGGTGGCGATAAAAACTTCATAAAAAAGACATCAATTTTAGCTTAATCAGAAACACAGTAACTGAAGACAGAGAACTAACAAGTCGTTTACTTTGACAATATTTTTCAAAGCAAATCCAATTACTTAACAAAGAAAGATCAATAAGACATCTTATTTTGCACGGCTTGTATCACTTTCTGGTAATGAGGCAACGTGAATGTCTTAAGAGTACAAGTAATCAAAGCCCGAGGTCAAATGAGGAAAAAATCCTGTGAGTGCACGAAATCAATATTCTGTCGTGTATACATATCTACTTTCTATGGTAATCAAAATTAAACAACATTTATGCGTTTCTACGAGCTATAAAGATAGCTTTTAAAGAAAGGGACTTGAAACATTAATAAATCGACAGAATATATGATTTCACGATCTTCTTCATCTTTATACAACACGTTGATTGCCTTTTCAAAGAAATTCTTTGCAATTAATATCAAGGATTACACTTCGTGAAGTTAAGAGAAGAATCCAAAACCCTCAAGCACATTATTTGTAAAATACAACTAATCAAGTGATGTTTGAAGAATTATTGACAACGTATATATATATATTATATTTTGTTATGTTAACGAGATCAGATATACATCAAGCTATTTAAGTTTGCAACAAACCATTTCACTGAAAACAAAGAAGATGAAATATTAATTGTAACAATGCCAATAATTTTTTTTCAAGATTTTTATCATAGCTTTAATTGTTACAAGTCTAATTCAATTGTTTATTTGATTTGATTTGAAATGCCATGAATACGTTTTGTAAGCTTGTATTTTCAAGATGAAGGAACCAATAATAACGCTGTTATTTTTTGTATATTGGTTATTTAATAGTATTTATGAGTCATTTGTGTATACCGTACATCCACCCGATATTGTTTCTTTTCAATTTGTGGCCGGAGATTGTCTCTGACGCTTTACGTGTTTCAGATGTATATATTACTTTTTATTTGTCAGCTATGAGATTATCTATCATGATTATCTACTTCATCATATTTCATTTCAGGCGAAGTTGTTGTTCAAAAATGTATCATATACTAGTAATCCATACGTTTTCATAGGCCAATTCTATCGCATTTTCCATGTCGAGCCAGTTTGCTTGCAAGTCATCATAGTGCATTGTGATAGTTTGTTTGCAGTTGTTATGGCCAAATATTTTTTTGGCTGGCAACAAATGATATATCTATTCTTATATAAGAATTACCTTACCAGCTATTTTTACATTTGATTGATAACTGCCTCGTACGTTCCAAAAAGGAAATATGTACCAGTCATAAATGAACATCACATAGAACCATTCAAGTCGACACTAGGAGTCTGACTATAAGGTGTGAATTCTCATTGAATGCTTTAATTAACTGACACGATGAAGATCATCAATAAAAACGAAGTACTTTCAAATGTTTCATGAGATATTCCAACTGAAGCGCCGTATACAATCACAGCAAGGCATATACATCAATATTATTTGAAATTTATGAAATAGTGCGGCAAATGTGTAATGACTCGTTCAGAACACATCACATCTAACATGCGGTTGATGATCATTCCCTTTTGGTACACGTGTAACAGACCGCGAAACACAAAGAGCTAGAACAATTGTAAAAAAGCAAAGTAGTTCTCCAAAGCATTACCTTTTATATAAACTGCGAACAAATCTAATTTCAATCTTACTTCGTTAACGGATAAAGTTAATGCGGTTTTATGAAGGCGGTTTAGATATCACGACTTTTTATTGTTTGTCATGTATTTATCAAGCTTTAGCTGTCAGCATTTCTTTTAACATTCATGATGCAGATTAGTCCGAGAAAATGGTGTATTACCATCAATTCAATACGTTTGACTTTGTAATCTACACATTTATAAGAAATACGCATGCAAGCTAACAATTTTTTATGCGTAAAATACATTTCAGTATTCAACATTCAACAAGATGCGTTAAGAACCGAAATGCATTTTGTTGAGTTCCTGAAAAATCCGCTAAACGTTTCTCCCATACGCCAGTATTGTTGCACTGAAGTAATTTACTTAATACTTAAGTTTAAATTCACTTCAATAACTTTAAAATATCTTAACTAAACGTAAAATTCATCAAGTATTGAAGTCTGGGAGAGTTTGGCATTAATGTAGTTTGTATTTTGGTTGGTTATAACACGCCTGACGACTTTATTTTAGAACCACGTGTCTTACACACTAAACTAATTTCTGTTTCATCAAATGTGTAACCCATTGTCCCTTTACCCTTCTGTTTACCCTTCCGGAACACCTGAATTCACCCAGTGATTTTGGTGCAGTTCTTGTTTTGTGAACTTGTTCGTCTTTTGTTCGTTTTTCTTTTTTGCCATGGCGCTATCAGTTTTTCTTCGACTTATGCGTTTAGAAGATGTCCCATTGGGATCTTTCGCCTCTTTTGTTTACACACAACTAAAAATATCTAAACTATTTCTTTATGTTCTAACCATTTAATTAAAACTGTAAGTCTGACTTTATTTGTTATCTGTTTTATTTTCAACATTTCTTTAAACGTTTCTACTTCTTGCATTCCATTAAATTCGACAATAAAATAATTCTATGCCGTTTAATTATTGCAATTTCGAGAGCTTGCTTTTCAATACTAAAAGCCCTTGCGTTGTATTTAAAGATAACATTAAATGCATCGTTTCCGTAAAATCGATACAAGCCTGTTGCTTAACGCCTGTAATGAACAGTTACAGTGAGCGTTTTATTTGAATCTAGTACATTTCTTAGGAATCCTGACTATATTAGAATTCAATACATTATTCAGCCTCTCTACTTCATTTAAGCATAATGTGTGAACAGGACATCTAATTAGATATATTTTGGAGAGCAATAAAAACAAACCGTCACCCTCGTTAAAATCTCACCTAATTGGAACATTGAAGTTTTATATTGACAATATTTCACTGACGTTGAATTTCAAAGTGAAGTGCGTCACCAAAAATATCAATGTTGTTTTTAATTAATGCAATGTTGAATTTTCTAATATTTTATAACGGTTGTATTGATGTAATGCAATTCAAAAAGTTAATTGAAACACAGCTTTTCACAAAAACAGACCAATTGGAAATTTGCATATTCTTACTTTTAACTTTTATTGATTTTTGTTTTAAATTGTGGTTGTTTTTTTTTTTATTATTAAGCATGGTGATAATACCATTTGCAAGACCATTAATTTGATTGTTAACAGTAAAATTATGACATATTTATGACAAAAAGTAATAATCATATACATTATTAAAAAGAAATTAAAACGTCAACATTTAACACCGGTTTCATAGTTATCAACCGCTCAGCTGTCAGTCATTCTCATCATGATTGGCTTGAATCCAACAAATAACGTAACGAATATTTATAGAACAAGGTCTCTCCAATATCGATTCCACTTATCTCACATAGTCTTTTTATGAAATTATACAAAACGTATTATCATTATCATAATTGAATGTTGAAGACAGAATGCTGTCAGTTTTGTAGCATTAGATTACTGAAATCTCCTTATTTTTTATAGATACAATACACAGGAACATATGTCCTGTCTGTAACTGAGAAGAAATAGCTATCAATAGTTTTTTGTGAAATATAGAATTTATTTCATCGATATAAAATGTTCTATTTCAGTGTTTATTCACATTGACCAGTTATAAACTTTAGGACTTATTAACAAAGATGTAACACATTTAATAGATGTATACTGCATTAGTCGCCACATGTAACTTGATCGTGTCACAACCCCACCCCTCCAAAAAAAAAATAATTCAGTACGTCTGATTAAAGCAAGAAAACGAAAAAGAACGGCGACCCTAATTTTTCAATTTTCTAAAAGCATTTTATGAGAGCAATCTTCCAATATAAAATTTGAAAATTCTGTTGTTTAATTTTCTTTCAATTCACATAATACTGCCTTCCCCCCGGTATACAAATTTGTAAATGTTTTGCATAACCTGTAGCTTGGAATAAAACGCGGCGACATACAATTATCTTTTTAAACAGCACCATATAAATTACATTTTGGAAAGTATGATAAAAATTCTATCATGTTTTGGATATGTCACCACACTACCTTAAAGGGACGGAATTTAAACAATTGCATTCTGTCAGCAATTTGTTACGTACACTTAGGCTTGCAGAAAATTAACATTCATAGTTTCCACAATTTAGGGGTATAGAACCGGTTTAATATAGAAATAAAGACAACAGACAAAAAATTGGATTAAACAAATACGCACAAGTTTGCACAACATTTATTCAAACGTTAACACAAACAGAAGGGAGGTGCTTTGTACAAGACGTTTAAACAGAAGTAATTATATGTCTTCATTGGAATACAATTGTTAAGATGTTTTCACATTATTGTCAAAATAATGATTTTTATCTAGATGCAGTCATCTGGGCGTGTTTCCTTAACGACGTCAACTGTAACAAACCGTTGGTGAAAAAACACCAATCATTTAAAAAATAACAGGCGAATTCATGGATTTCAATTTACATTCCGACGGATTATCTTGCTTAATTTTAACTTAAGTATGATATTGATGGTGCTGTGAGAATGAAAGGTACCAATATGGGCACGAAAAGCGTGAACCGCAGTGCATAATCTGATGTGAAAAGCTGCACCAAAAAAAAAGACGAAGATAAAATCCTGTTTTAAAGAAAAGTACCGTAAACAGCTGATATATTCCGCATTTCAGACAAATTTGTCAAAATATGATTAATACTAATCAAAGTTTACATAATCGTTATTGATAAGAGTCATGAAATCATATCAGTCTCCAACCAGTGGAAGATAGAGTCAGTTGTCTTTGTTAACGTATACCCACTTTTTCTTTAAGTATTGTATATATATAGATATATTTATTTTACAGTTTTATGCTATATTTTATTTCGTTTACCCTTTATAATGGTTTTTAAATCTATAGGGCCGCAAATGTTTATCTAGAACAAGAGATTAAGTCATTAACTATAGTCAAGCTTGCTATAAAAAAAAACTGTCGTTTGTCTTTTGGGATTTTTGTTTGTGTGTCATTAATTACTTCTATTGCACTGTGTCCATAACTATTCATTCAAATGTCCATTAAATATACATTCCGAACTCGACTTAATACCATAATCGATAACAGCTATTCCCATATGACACAAAATGATACTGGCTATCTGGTTGTAAAATATATAATTAAAGTTGTTATACACAAAATACATTTAGACTGTAAATAACACTAGATAACTGTCTTTGGCACTAGTCTGTTTCCTGTTATACGAACGAAAATCAATGTTCTTACGTAATCAGAGGGTTCCATTACATGCTATTGTCCTGTAATAACAACGAAGGTGACAATTAAATTCCCATCTAATTTTAGTAATTTGAATTCAATTCAGTCGTCTGCCAGTCTGATCACATGCAGAAACAATGTTATTAAAGAAAACCATTTTATATTGGTAATCGAGCTAAATTTAAGAGTGATGAACTACAAAAATAGTTTTACAATAGCACTTCACATGCAACTGTATCAAATTCACATTTAAAAAAGTAAAATAACTTTGCACAAGGGAGCACTCGTATCTTGCGTCCAATTATTGTTTTCAATTAACTAACCTTGATTACAATTTTAGGGAACTACACAAAATTCCTGTGTCTGCAACTAGCTACACAAAAAACTTCTCTTATATGCAAAATAATGCAAAATTCCTTGATAGATATACTTCGGTTGAAATTTCAGGCAGCCATTTTCTGTCTTTATTGTTTTGTGTTATAATGCGTTTTGGTGTTTGATCTACTAGTATTATATGTAGTGGCTGTACCTTTCACCATTTCTTTATTTTTGGTATTTCTAATACGAGTAAAAGAAGAAGACCAAATGACATCTAGACGGAAATACAATCCTCCACTATGAACAGTTGTCTATACAAACTGATCACTTTGGTTTTTGGTGGGTTCTTGTTGTCAGTGTTTAGTTTGTTAGACTGCTGTTTGTCTTTTCGTCGATTTTCTCATTTTGGCATGATTTTACCGGTCTCTCTTATTTTGGCATGATTTTACCGGTCTCTCTTATTTTGGCATGATTTTACCGGTCTCTCTCATTTTGGCATGATTTTACCGGTCTCTCTGCAACCGTCGAGTTTTGATTCTTTCTTTGGTAAACGGTCAATTTATCCTTTCTTCGTCAAAGAATTGTTCCGAGTCTATAAGAAGTGTGTGAATAGTTATATAATGTGAACGGACGAGTCCCCTGATGTTGCCTCATGCAAAATACATAGACATGAACATAAGTATTAGCTTTGTCATTTAGTTGGTTTCATAAAACAAAGTTCTTCTTTTGCTAATTAAAAGATTTCACAAAACTAGGTTCAGTAACTAGATTTACTACATAGTTACATATGAGATAGCAATGTAGATCAAAGTTTTCTCGTTTACAGGAGTTGAGGTGCGTTTCCGTGGAGCAGCACGCGCAAAATGGCGAGAAACAGTTCAAAATGGCACACATCGAACAGATATAGAACATGAAAAAGAGGAAATATATTTTGATGATCGCTTTTGTTTGTGGGGAAAAGGTAAGAACGCGATCTATATATTCATTAAATAAGAAAAGGATTAGACCAATTTCGACTACATATATTATTTTACTCACAGTGTCAAAATTGAAAATATGTTAACACAATTCAGATTTTGAGATGGGTGAAATTTTTACAAAGAACATTGTTCTGTTTTGTTTTGTTTTGATTTTTTTTTGGGGGGGAAGGGGGTGGGGGGGATACTGAAAATTGTCAAAAAATCAGCCAAAATAGCAGATCTTTAAATGTTGTTTAGTTTGTTAAAATGTTCAGAAATACGCCATTATGTTGTTAAAAATTTTGTAGGCATTCGTATGTGTCGGTGATTTTCGTTTCACACATTCCGGTTTTTTTTGGTAACTTTTCCGTTCTACTGGTACATTCCTGTCTTTTTTGTACTTGATATTATTAACAAAAAAAAATAATAAATCTTGGAAGCTAGCGTCTACGAATTTACATATACTCAAGAAATGCGAATCAATTGACAATAAAAGGGCAAAACTAACTACCCTGTATTGTTAATTATATTAACAAATGTAGACATCGTAGATTTGGTTATAAATCACCGTTTACGTATTATAAGGACGAAGTGGAAATTCACTGTGATTCTGGAAACGTCACAAAATCAATATTGCATCTAAAATTCAAAAGATGCTAATGAAATCTTGAAAATCTCATGTTAAGTTGACAATTTGATTGATGTGTTGCTCTTTTAGTTTGGTCAATAAGGCTACGTCGGTTAGAGAATATTCCAATTAATTCTACCATGGAGGATAATGCCCATTATTTACCAGTTGTCAGCCGTAGAACTCCATAACCTGATGATAATGTTTTATCAAATGTTGTCTGACAGACAAATTACATAGTCAGACACTCAGCACACATCTATTTTACTTATTAGTTCTATGGGTAAGTACAATTGGATTTGCATTTCAAGGTGTTAAAACAGAACAATATTTTTTTAAATTGACAACAAAACATAATAAAACAAAAAAAAAAGGTCTCACACAAATGTGTAGGGTGCTAAATAACAACCCTTCTATATACGATTGTGTTTTTAAAATTTATGTTACTACTTTATTTTGGGCAGCCTCGGTGGTAGCTACCAAGCGCTTGCATCAAGCTTTTATCCACATTTAGATAATAACATTAACGGTACCAATTTTTCTGCACCAGAAAATAAAATAACCCAAGGAAATCGCATGAACTCCAAACGCAGCCAATGCATATCGAGTACTTTGATATATGTACAGTACAGATTTTAATAATAAAATAAAAGTAAAAAAAAATGTGTGTCGTCTGTCTTACTACATTTGTTTGATTTCCAGAAATTGTCAATCATTTTTTTTAATTTTCATTACGGGTTATGAAATTAAACAGTTCCCTTTAAATCTGATTTCCCAAAAGATGCTTTTCATCAAATTTTCATGCCCCACTTAGTGGCATTATGTTTTTTTGTCTGTGCGTCCGTCCGTTTGTTCGTCCGTTCGTCCGTCTTTCCCGCTTCAGGTTAAAGCTTTTGGTTAAAGTTTTTGGTCAATGTAGTTTTTGATGAAGTTGAAGTTCAATCAACTTAAACTTAGTACACATGTTCCCTATGATATGATCTTTCTAATTTTAATGCCAAATTAGAGTTTTTACCCCAATTTCACGGTTCACTGAACATAGAAAATGATAGTGCGAGTGGGGCATCCGTGTACTATGGACACATTCTTGTTTAAAGTATACATTCGTTTGTAATTTTATTTTCATTTGAGTGTTTTGATTTATGTAAAATCGGAGGTGTTATTGTATACAAGACATTGTGCTGAAATATTCCTATAGACAGACCCTTCCAAACAAAATCTGTCTGATACCTAGTAGTTAAAGAAAACCTTGCAACTGACATCTATGTCAAACACAATGACTTTTATTTCAAAAATGAATACAGTAAAATATTTACACTACTTAATTAAGCAAACTTTTTAAATGTCGACGTTAGGATACTTAATTTAGTTCTCTGGAGCCTGTCTACTAATGGTTTTATGATTTACAACAGTTTAAAAGCTGCTACAGAAGATACTTAGTCAGTATTTATTCAGTTCAAGTGCAATCTATACAAAAATTTTAGAACACAATCATAGATTGATAAATTGTAATTTAGTATTGAGGACATTTTTGTGACATGTAATTTTTCCATACCAGACCTTTTTAGAACACAATCATAGATTAATAAATTGTTATTCATCCTAGATACGTAAATGAACATTAAAAAATGTTATAAGTAATTAAATTATTATTATAAATTAAAATTCTGACATCTGAATTGGGTAAATTTCTCATAGTAAAGGGGTGAGAGGTGTCAAAACACCATGGGTAAGAAAAAATGTTAATCAATCTTTTCCAACTCATGTTTTTCATTCAAGATACTTTTTGCAGCATTATAACCAATCAAAGTAGCTTAAATGCTATTATTAATTAAAATTTTGACCTATTAGGGAAAGATGTTTAATTTTCCATTATAGATGGGGGGAATACAACGGCTAAGAAAAAGTGGCATACAATCTTTTATGACATATGTTTTATATCCTATATACTAACTAAAGCATTTCAACTAGTTACTGTGCTTATTCAGTGGGCTTTGGGGTATCTCAGTAGCAATGGCTAAAACAGTTTACCAAATTGCAGTTTGAATAATCAATTCGTCTCCAACAAACTGGTGAACTGGTAAACTATTTTAACAAATTGCTTGAAAGGATATTAGTATGAAGTGAGTGCAGTGAAAAAAAAGTAATACTTTTCATCCAGCTCCAGTTAGTTGATGTCTATGTCATGAATTTCAAACAAAATACTGACTTACTATAATATGAGTCACTGGTTTAAAAAGGTCTAACTTTGACATGAAAACTTCTATCCTAAATAAATTTTTTAAATAAATAGTTCAAAACGTTGTTTTGTAGGTCTATTATTTATAGCTTTGTTTTCTAAGAAGAAGTTATTGTGTTATTGTGATTTGGATAATATTTTCTAAGAATTACTGATCTGCTGGCATTAAAGGGAAATAATTTTATTGAGACATTGTATATTAAAAATTTAATCAAAGATACCAGGCTTATGATTTGCCTACAAAAGATTCATCAATAGGACTGAAATAAAAAAAATGAAATGCCAAATTAGGACGAAGTTGAAGAGCATTGAGGACAAAAAATTCCGAAAGGTTTTGCCAAATACTGCTTATTAGTAATCTAATCCTCGGTAGTAGAAAATCATTAGTACTTTGAACAATTTAAAGTTTTGCAAGACAGTTAACCTATAATTTTGACCATTTCAATGAAAATTCATGTCAACACAGAATTGCTGACTACTGGGCTGGTGATACCTTCTTAGTTTACAGAGGAATCTGTATGACTTATAGAACTTTGTATGTGTTCCATTATATGTTTTTAAAAGTTTTTTTCAAAATTTTAATCATCTTAAAAATAATTTTCAGTGTTTTTTTTTTCAGAACAGGGGATAATAGTTAAATAATCTTGGAAATAATGTTACAAACAAATTACTTATAAAACGAAGGAAGTTCATATTTGACAACAAACTTTTGCTGATTTTACAGTAATGTTAATTATTTCCCTTTAATATTAGCAGATTAGTAATTGCTTTAGAAAAAAATTATCCAAATTACAATTACGCACTAACTTGCTGTTAGGAAACAGAGCTATAAATTATTGACCTACAAAACAATGTTTTGAACTATTCATTTATAAAAATTTTTTAGGATAGAAGTTTTCATGTCAAAGTTAGACCTTCTTAAATCAGCGACTCATATTATAGTAAGTCATTATTGTGTTTGATAATCAGGTGATAGACATCAACTATCTAAAGCTGGATGGTTAGTATTACTTTTTATTACACTGCACTCAAGAAATACTAACAACCTTCGAATTCACTGAAGCAATTTATGAAAATATTTTACCAGTTTGTTGGAGAAGAATTCAAACTGCAATTTGCTAAACTAATTAAGCCATTGCTTTTGAGATACCCCAAAGCCCACTGAATGAGGGCAGTAACGTAACTTTGATACTTTGATTATATCTATGCTTAAATCGAAAAGGGAAAGGCGGTCCAATTTTGCATGGAAGGGTGTCAAAATACCGTGGCTGAGAAAAAGTGTTATAAACTCTGTATCAAAATTTGTTTTTTAATCCACGATACTTATTGCATCATTATAACTAGTTACAGTAATGTATTATAATTCAAAATTCTGACGTATAAGAGAAGGGTGTTTAATTTCCTTTGGTAAGGGGTCAAATTACCATGGCTGAAAAAGTGTCATGAAAAATCTTTTCCAACATATGTTTTTCACTAAAGATACTTATTGCACCATCATAACTTGTTGAATTAGTGCAAATGCTATTACACATTAAAATTCTGACTATAAAAGAAGAGGTTCAACATTCCATAGCTAGGGGGTCAAAATACAATGCTTAAGAAAAAGTGTTATACAATCTTTTCCAACATATGTTTTACACTCAGTATAAATAATGCAGCATAATAAAGCAGATTTTTTTTTATCATCATAGCTATTCAAACTGCTTTATATAGTTATAAAGCTCCAATAAGTATTTGGTATGAATAAAACTTTTACATTTTCACTAAACCATGTTATTTTGACCCTTTTAATATGAAAATTGAACCCCTTAAAGATTTCAAATTTTCAAATTGTCACAGCTCTTTAAACTACTGATATAGTGATAAAGTATTAAATAAGAGCAAAACATGTTGGAAAAGATTTTTTTATCATTTTCTCTTAGGTCATGGTATTTTGTACCATGGAAAATTGGCCTCCACAATATAAAACGATCCAAGATAGCCGAAGACCCCCATCCTAACTTTAAATAAACTCATGTTTTTCGTTTCTTTTAAAGTGAATCATACTAACAGATGGGAGGGAAGAGAGGTGCTACAAAGAGGTCGTCATATGTTTCCGTTCCAGTATAAAGTACCCGAATGTGTTCCATGTTCATTTGAAGGCCCGGATGCTCATATTCGGTATAGCGTTCAGGGAATTATTATAAGATACAATGGAGAGTGTATTAGTTCACAAAGAATTATAAACGTGCTTAGAGAATACGACCCGAGAAGAGAACCTCGGGATTCGGCAGCTAATTCAGTAAGTAACGTATTTAAACAATCGACCATGCATTAATGTTACAAAGCACCGTGAAATAGCTTAGAGAATTATTTTATTTTTGTGTAACTTGATCATCTTGAAAATAAGTCCATGTACTAGTTTTTTTAAATCGAAACTTTGATCACGTTTTTATTTTGTTCCACATTTTTCATTTTATTTAGAAAATTTTCTAAAATAGCCACCTAAATTAAATTGGGTCGATTTTAAAACCTTTTCGAGTCAGGTTTGCAATATCAAGTATTTCAAAGATTTATATTTAAAACCAATAGATTCCATTAAACCCAACCACCGACCTGAAAACATTAAGTTACGGAGCAATATTAACATATAAAATCGAGCGAAACGTTTTCACATTCAATATGCATATATGTAAATTGTAGTCGTTATATCTATCTTATATTAATTTGTAGTCGCCTCATCGGCTGGAAGATCATGCTGAAAGGTCAGTTAGCACTCTTTGTTGTCGTCCCGGGAGAGTTTCATGTACTCTCTCTTTACCGAAGCGTGCCTGTGTTCCGGGTGAAATTCTCCGAGCCGAAATACTCGTTCACAACATGTCCATAAGAAAATCTGGTGCTGTTAGTTTACAATTAAAACAGGTATGAAATTAAAAAAAATCGAATTGGTAATACAGTCGTTAAAATAGCGTTATCATATCAGTATAAAAATGGTAGCTATGGTGTGTGCTGCACAATTTGAAATATAAAACGCTTAAGATTTATCATAAGTTAGGATATTGAAAAATGTGTTTTGTTAACAGAGTCTGTATATAATTTAGCACTGAAAATATGTTTATATAGATATTTGATGGTAACCTTTTATAACAGATGTTTTGGTTGGTTAGTATAATTAGACACTTCATTTGATGTGACCGCACTACAAGATCACATATTATGCTTCAAAATTTATTCAAAATGCTGCCGTAAGATTGTTTTTATGTCTTCTTTATAAGTGTTTTTTTTTTGCAGAGCCTAATTTCCATTTTAATTACTTAACCATAATACAAACTGACAAATTGGACATTATACGCTTAGTCTCAAACAAAATCTCAAGTACATTGATACTGTGCTTAACTTATATCACTTATATAACCTAAAGTAGTATTTCTTGTTTGTTATTATAATGTTTAGAAAATTATTGAACCGAAGCATCCTAAACTAAGTCCAACTTTTTCGTTTTATATATTTGTAACGAATCCGCAACATATAATCGACAATAATATTTCATTCATTGATTGTTGAACGAGAGATTTGACTGCTAACAAAAAGAAAGGCGAATGATACCAAAGGGACATTAAAACTCAAAAGCCGAAAATAAATTGACAACGCCATGGCTAAAAAAGAAAAAAGACAAACAGACAAACAACAGTACACAAAACACAACATAGAAAACTAAAGACTGAGCAACATGAACCCCACTAAAATCTGCCGTCGATCTCAGGTGCTCCGGACGGGTAAGCAGATCCTGCTCAATATGTGGCACCCGTTTCGTTGCTCATGCAAGTACAAACCCGATGAAAAGTCTAATTCGGTAGGTCCCATTCAGGAAACGGGGAACGGGATTGAAGTTACGACAATTGGAACATATCCGTCGTCATCTGTGAAACAGATATTCCATAGCGGTCAACAAACTCGTGATGGCGTCAGTAAAATTTACGAAAGGGATGATTTTAACGTCACCACTTGGGACTCTTGGTTTGATAGCTTCCTTGTGAGCAGCAAACTTCTTTCGGGCTTTTGTGTCGATGTTTACCGATTGTGACTTGAGTAACAATCAATACACGTAGAACGTGAAAGTAGACCGATGTTTAAGGGTTTTTTTCTTATATTTTCCCTGCGTTCCAATTATTTTTTTAAAATTAAACGTTCTTAGTCAATCTTTAGTTATCTATGTAGTGTTTTGTGAATTTATTTGCCTTTTTGTTGTCAGTTTCACTCGACTCGTTTTGAATGTCTCCATGCTATATTTCGTCTTTTTATATGGGTTTTCAAATCTTTATAAATATCACTTGTTGCTAATATTTCATTTTGTTTGGTAGATTATTACCTACGGTGGAGTCCAAACGAAAATACTTTTACTGAAAGAGTATAAAGTTTGTGATGGACTTAGGCCTGGTCAACATCGACAATGGAAGGAATATCCACTTCGTGTTCCACCTCTATGTCCGTCGAGACTTCACATGTGTAAAGTCTTAGATGTTAGATACTGTATATCAGTGAGTATAGTTAGTAACATACGTCCATAGAGTCTTTATGTGGGTAAAGTGTTAGTTAGTATATACTGAATATCAGTAAATATAATCAATAAAATACGTCAATAAAGACTCTTGGATGATGGATATTGTATATAAGTGAAAATAATCAATAAAATATATCCATCGATACTTTGAATGTGTTAAGTCTTGGATGATTGATATTGTATATCGGTGAATATAAATACATCCATCAAAACTTCATATGGGTAAAGTCTTAGTTGATTTATACTGTATATGTCGGTGAATGTAATCAATAAAATACGTCTATAGAGACTTAATTTGTTAAGTCTTAGATGTAAGATTCTGCATATCGGTGAGGTCAAACAATAAAATACGTTAAACATTTCGCTCAATCAATCGTCTGTTATAAATTTTCACAAATACGTAAGTATTTTTAAGAAATGTTGAATAAAAATGGAGAGGTGTGAGAAGCCCAATTTGTAGGTCCTATTATTCAACATCATGAAGTTTTATATAGGAGAATGCATAAAAAGGCCGTTTAAGGTCCCTTGAATACGGAAATAAAACAAAAGATAATTTCCCGCAAAAATCTAATGTAAAGAGGGTGTTGTAGCTGAAATATCTTTTTGAATAATGCTATTACTATTATATATTGTGACAACAACATGTGTGTAAAAGAGTAATTTTTGTAAAAATGCAAATATCGTTAGGTTCATGACGTGACGATTTACTTTATAAATTATATTTCAGTCCTCTAACAACCATGACCATTCCAACGTATTCTTGAAACCCCGCTATATAAATGACTATATTGTCTTTTTACCATTTTACCTATTATGTCTGTTTCTTTCCTCACACATTGTTGTCAATATAATGGAATTCTATATGACTGTCATACAAGTGAGGGGTTTAGCTATCTATAAAACCAGGTTTAATCCACCAATTTCTACACAAGGAAATGCCTGTACCAAGTCAAGGAATATGACAGTTGTTTATCATTCGTTTGATGTGTTTGAGCTTTTGATTTTGCTATTTGATTAAGGACTTTCCGTTTTGAATTTTCCTTGGAGTTCGGTTTTTTTGTTATTTTACTTTTTAAGTACCAAAAACTTAAAAAAAAACGAAGTAAAGGCACAAGAAAATGAAATAAATGAAAGAAAATTTAGAATTAAGAATCACAATGTAAAATATATCCAGGTCTTTTATGTTTCTTTTGTACAATATGTCCATACGATGGTAATAAAGTTGATTCATATCGCCTTTGTTTTCCTGAACTTTCAAGGAATCAGGTAGATGGTCCTTTGTAAGTGTTTTTGATTCGAGAGAAAACCAAAATCTTTAAAATTTGGTTTTCTGCTTTTCCAAGCAAATATACCGCATTTAAAAGTCCGAGTAAAAACAAGTAATCTCGGAGTCTGGAAAATATTTTACCGTTTTCCTGTGGACTGGTAACAGGTGCGCGTTTAAAAGTCTTACTCAGTGTGTCGATAAAGAATAAGTTTATGCAACAGTAGTTTACCGATGTTCAAATCTCATAAATCGATTTAGAAGAAACAAAAATCAGAAGGAAACATCTAAAGTTCAAAAGGGACCAGACCGAATGAGTCGACAGGGCAAGCGTCTTTGCAATGCATGCATTAACCGTCATACGAATCCTCATTAATACAAAATGCGATGATCTGGAAAATAGGATCCAATCGGTAAAATTACATATCAGACGACTATTCTAGAATTTAAAGTTATAAGATTGCGAACACATGTAGCTAGTGAGATGATACACTTACACATCGTATCGGTCAACCAATTTGTTATACTGACCCTAAAATTTATGTAGTGTCGATTTCAGTCCTTCTTCCCCATAACTCTATTGGAGCAGGTTTTGTGTAAGGAGCACACCCCTTTAATGAAGGCCGTAAAGGTAGGACATGCACGACCGGAAGCTGAAATTCTGTACGCAGGGGAACAGAGTATGTTACTGTTAAGAAAAAAAGGAAAATTGACTATTGGAAAGATGAAATCATCACGTTTGATATGACTCTTATTTGAAGTCTACTATCTGTGGCAATATGAAAAAAGAAAAGATATGAAGCAGACATTCTAGTTTCGGTGGTATCAAAAATCTTAAATTCAATAGGATATATGAGATAAAAACACTCTCTGAAATGTGGGTAATTGAGTGACAGCACATCATCAATATATCTGAAAGAGAAATGTAAGATGTTTTCTCCTTTTTGTCTCTGAGAAGCTTTGTATTAATTCTGCTTTATAATAGTAAAAAATCAGGTCGGCCAGTAGTACACAATTAGTACTAAATAGTAGCCATTGGAATACCCACTGTCCGTTGTAACATCAATTCACGAACTCATGACATATTTTGTCAATCAAAAAGTCTAGTATTTTGATGATATCATCTTCGGTATATTTGTTGTTTGAATCAATGGTCCTTCACAAAGAAAAATTTTTGATGACCTGAAACATGGAATTTGTATCTACAATTCCCATTTTGGTAGAGGGTGTGCTATCAATGAGACCTTGTAGTCGTTTTTTCAATTGAAAATCGGTAGTAGTGGAGTGATGCGTAGAAAAATGAAAAGTTTTGATATAAATGCAAAATTGTATAGATTGTTATCGAAGATTCTGGAGTGATCTTTAGAATTTTTAAGAATCTACATTTTATTGACACATCTGGTTGAATAATCACAATATTTCTGAAGGCCATCTTTTACTAGAGAAAGAATTGTAGTTAGAACTTCAAAAAAATCTAATCGAACATAATGACGACCCGGCTATATCTTTTTATTTATAATGATGCAGTTTAAGTATCCAGTATAAAGACGGGAGATTGTCATCGTCCTTCTTTATATAGTATCCAGTATAAAGACGGGAGATTTTCATCGTTCTCCTTTATATTAACACTAAATGAGAGAAGGATTTTCTGAAATATCTTTCGTGAATCATGTATTGGTATATGTTGGATTTACAGTTTTGCAGTGATTTCAAGTTCTTTAGGGAGACATAATGGTTTATGCACATAAACACTATATTGTTTGAGGCCTTGTCAGCTTAACAACAATATATTTGTTGTAAAGGGAGGATAAAGCATCCACAACCTCGGGGTCCTAGAAAGGGGTAGACACCCATGTGCGTAGATTTTGAATGTGCCTCTAAATGCATGACCGAACAGCTTGAACCCATATAGATGGAGTGTAAAAGTTTGGTTCATCTGGTTCGCACTCAACCCGTCAATGTTATCGCTGCATCCATAAGGAATAGCTGCTATCAATCTCTTGAGATATTCTTATATTTTTAACTTGATACATTTAATAACTCTTCTGAAAACAAAGCGCCCATAAATTTCTATTAAGTAGCATTAATGATATCAGTGTTACATGTTTTGAGGTGCATTCTTACTGAAACAATTTATTTAATTATATCATTTCATAATTTAAAAATCTTCTGCCACTTTGGATATTGAATTTCGAATTCTGAAACATGTAGTTTCGAACCTTTAATGTAAAGAGATTTGAATATTTGAAGATTAGATCTGCTAATTTTATTAACAATTTTTTTTAAGTATAAGGACGATTAAAAGTTTATTGAATAGACAACTGTCTATTGTATTTATATTGATCTAAATACAAGAATAGAGCTGAACTTTGATAAATACTTATTTTAACTTACATACGAGAAACTAATTTTAAATTTTAGATACATTTTGAATCAATTTAGCTCATTGTTTGCATATCATGTATTATGGCGTACTGAGAAATTTATCTAAAACAAAAAAATAAATAATGATGTGTTAATATACTATCGGTGTTAATTATTCATGCTATAAGCATCCTGTGGGAGTTGTTAACAAAGATAAATGTTTGAATGAATAGAAAGCCACTTAAACCTCATGTAAGGAACTAATATACCGTAAATAGTTCTGCATATATATTAATTGTTAATTAGTTTGTGTAATATCATGAATGAAGGAGTGCAACCATTATAAACAATTCGTTAAAACTAACAACGTAATGTATAGTGCCGATATTGTAAAATAATAAAAAGAATCGTTGGGTATGCGTCAATAATACAACAGTATAAAGACACAAAAAACACCTGCAAAAGTCATTTTGATGTCAGTAAGGGGTCTTAAAAATAGACACGTGTCTGAACAATATGTTAATTTTAACAGAGATTACAAAAGAAAACCCTTAACTCCATGACCGATGGTTTGCGAATTAGGTGATAGATTGATAGGTGAGAGTGGTTTGGTCAGAGTCAACTATCAAGCCGCTGTTGCGTGATGCAGAATCACTTGATATAACTCATCAACATATCCCTTTGGTCACTTTCGCTCTTTTCTCCAAACCTCTGTTGTAAAAACTGATTAAAACAAAGGGAATCTAGATGAACATTTGTTTCAATGGGTGAATAAGTGTTCTATGCTGAACTGTTTCACGTTTTGATATCCCATGGCCTTAATTTATAGTTTACTTAACGGTATGGCATTTGTTCCTAGATGAAGGTTGTACGATGATCTGTATTTAACAGTATGGCATTTGTTCATAAATGAAGGCTGTACGATGATCTGTATTTCTGTACATCCTCATCCTTTGGTCTTCAATAGCTCACATCACATCTCCTTGTTGATATAATGAACATTAGTTCAGAAATGCTATTTTAAACTCAGAGAACCTGATCATAAACAACAAAAATACAAGCAAAACAATTTTGAGTAATACAAAATCACAGAATGCTCGCACTTACTTAAACAAGCTCGAAATTATATATCTCCTAATATGAAATCATGCCGTCCTACACTGTATTGTCTTCGGTTTACCTTTCATATAATAATTATAATAATATACATTTCATAAAGTTAAGTCCTAGATATTATAGGAAGATACGGTATTGTATTATGCCCGAGGTAAATTTATATCGAGTTTCAGTACAAAAGGAAGAGAACACAAGTGTTATTCTTGTTTAACACTTTAAACATACACAAATAACCTGGTATTCAATGTCATTTTTTACTGATAATGTGAAACTGTCATTAAACCCACTATTTTCTTCTAAGAATGCCTTAACCAAGTCAGGAATATGACAGTGGTTTTCCATTCGTTGCGTTGGTTGATAAAGTCGAGCGTTTGGTTTTGTCAGGTTTTATGGACTTTTCCTTTTAGAAGTTATATTGTAATAAGAAAATTATTACAATGTTACTATCCATTTAGTTGTTATATGAGATATATATGGTTCCAGTTGTTTCTCTGCAGACTCTCAAAAGAAGAACTACTTTTGTGAGAACTGATACTGGGTCTTTACATGTTGGGGAAAACTAGCCGTTGACAATGCCTTTGATGGTGTATGGCATTGCTGCCGATGTAAAGGAAGGCCGGGCGTTGTTGCCGATGTAGAGGCAGGCCGGGCGTTGTTGCCGATGTAGAGACAGGCCGGGATCGATTTACACCTATAAGAATCAAAATTCAAACTTATTAATAAAATAAATCAGAACAAAAAGAATACAAAACAGTTGCAAACAACAATAAAGTAAAACAAATATTTTCAATTATTTCCCTAATAGAAAACAATAAATATTTTGATAAAACTTTATTTATGAAAACTTTTAAGTATCTTTATTTTAGTGTAACTTGTTTAGAAATATTTAACTTTAAATTTTAACAATTTCAAAATCAGGACTTACCTATAAATTTCAAAATTCAAACTTTGACGTCTCGAAGCAGACATTTTACTCACATAGCAATCATTTATTTGATGGTATGCCAACATTACTTTCTTTGTCAGCATAGAATTAGAAATTACCAAATATGGTTATTGTCCGAAATAGGGTCAAAATGTTGTATAAGTAAATGTCCCATATATAATAGAGAGAGAGGTCACTTTAACAATGGTGATAATAAATAAGCTTTACTTGGCCGGAGAAAAAATGGTATAAAACGTGATAAACATGAAATTTAAGGAATAATTGTACTGTCATCTATGTCCAAAATGTATGTCAAATATCTGTCACAATATATCACTCTCCTTAGAAATTGGACTCTAAAATTAAATAAATTAAACATTTTAAAGAAATTGCATACAATTTTATGTTTACTATATTAATCTGAAAATGGATTTATAATTTTTAATTATTAATGTAAGTAAATAATCAGTATCCATATTTAAACCTCAAAATAATATAGACGACAAGCAATTGAGAATATTGCGATGCCCAAAATATATGAAAGTATATTTTTTTTTTATTTTTTTATTTTTTCATTTTTCATTTAAAGCGCTAAAAAAATCTTGGACTTATTTTTCAAATATTTTTCTCTTTTTTTTTTCTTTTTTTTCCATTTCGTGTTAATCATACTATTTAATTGGTGGTTTTATTGTAATTCTTTATAAATTGATTGATGTGTATGATGTTACAATACTTTGGTATTAATTTTCAATCGTTGTTTTTGAAAGTTTGTTACTCGCATGCTTACAATTGAACGTTTATCTTAACAGTTAATGAAATTAAATTAAAAAATATATGCAAAGTGTTTTAACAAAATGTTGCAAAAATACATGAAGGATGAATACACTTGAATAAATCTTAAACAGAATTTGATTTTGCTTACTTCAGTCTATAAGTTACTGTTTTAATCGTTTTTGTGGCGTTCCTGCTCCTGAGGTAACCCATGCGTATATGTTTTATGGCGTTCCTGCTTTTGAGGGAACCTATTGTGCTAATTGTTTGAGGCATCCCTGCTCCTGAGGTAGCTCATGTTTATATGTTTGATTCAATGTTTGAGGCATTCCTGCTCTTGAGGTAGCCTATGATAATGTGGAATACGATTTTCATACAGTAAATGGCAACAAGAATTACTTGTTCCTAATAGGTAACTTACAAACAAGGAAATTTACTTTATGCAACCCTCTATGAAAGTTGAACCTAATCTTAAAGTTGACTGATTGCAAATGATAATATTGACAAGCGTTTGAAATACAAACAAAGATCAAATTAATATCATTCTGAAAAGTTATTCAAGAAAACATTGATTTAAATGAATAAAATTTACAACATTTTATCAAAATAATTTTATAACTTATTTTAACAGCATTTTAGTAAATTTTTGCTTAAAAATCTACAGACATGAAACGCAAACGATTTGTGAAATGAAAATGAAAATTTTGTTTCATAGCTGAAAATTTTGAATAAAAATTTTGATTTTTGAAATAGATTTACAATTAGGATTTGATGTACTCACAGTTTCATGAAATACACAACAATATAACTTTATAGTTCTTAATGTCACTGATGGTGATAAAGTTCTCCTTTGAAAATGATGCATTATATATATGTTCTTTGATATTCAGTTGATGTCGTTGTTCAATGGTGTATTCTGATTAATTAAAAAAATCATTTATTGGAAATACATATAAAATTAAATAGTCCAAACGGTACAAAAATACTGTTCAAATGTCAATATTCCTGTTCGAATTGTCGAGACGCTAGCATGCTGTTTGATCAGAATGTTACTGTAAAAAATCAATCTTAATAGGTGTTCGGTGTCAGCTTTCAAAGGTCGTCCACCATTTATTGTAATAAAATAATTTAGTTGATATATGAGATATATATGGTTCCATCATGAAATTTAACGAACAATTGCAACGTCATCTATGTCCAAAATGTATGTCAAATATCTGTCACAATAGTTACCTTGGAGTTATTTGTTCATTTTTCAAGAAATATAATAATATCATATATAGCATATATAATAATATTTCGATTTTCATAATTTACTCATAATTTATTTCAACTTCGTGTTCCAAGATCATTGTTGGTTTCATTTGTTCCTCAGTGTTTAATTTAAAGTTTGGAGTTAAAAAATTAGATCTCTATTGTCGCGAAATGAACATTAATGCTGTCAAATAGAAATACATACTAATGACTTTATTTCAAAATGAATATTTTGACAGCAATCATGTTCATCCTGTAACGCTGAAGATTAAATAAGGGTCATCTTTCTCATGAATACATCGTCCTGAACATGAAATATTTGCCCCTGGACGTTTAGCAAACGACAATTAATCATTCTCATGAATAGATTTCGTTTTCGCTTTACTCGTTTGGTGAAATCCTAATCTATTTGCTTATCAATGTTTCCCTCATGGTTTGGGTATATGCTTGGAGCATACATGGTATACATTGACATATAACAAAATCTCTTTGGGTTTACAGTATATTCCTTTACTATGATCAAATGTGTATATCTTGATAAAATTAACTGAAGAATCATTAATTTTGCCTGTAATCACAATTATATATATAAATGTATGTTCACTGGTGTTAATATGTCCTTTGATTGAGTTAAGCTATTCCAGTTGATATTTTATAGTGTGTCTTTCTATGTTGTGATGTTACACTATTGTTTCAGAAAAAGGGTAAAGGTTTGGTACCATTAAAACTTTTAAACCCGCTGCATTTGTTTGCACCTGTCCTAAGTCAGGAATCTGATGTTCAGTAGTTGTCGTTTGTTGATGTGGTTCATAAGTGTTTTTCGTTTCTCGTTTTTTATATAGATTAGACCGTTGGTTTTCCCGTTTGAATGGTTTTACACTAGTAATTTTTGGGGCCCTTTATAGCTTACTGTTCGGTGTGAGCCAAGGCTCCGTATTGAAGACCGTACTTTGACCTATAATGGTTTACTTTTATAAATTTTGACTTGGATGGAGAGTTGTCTCATGGGCACTCAAACCACATCTTCTTATAACTATATAAGGTGAAACTTGTATTCATACTATAAGTTTTAAATAATTTTGTGTTATTTTGTTTTAGGTAGAAGCAACTTTTGCTGATATTATTTTATATTCTGCGGTGCCAATCATCATAGCGACGATTCCTGATAATTATTTAGAATTTTCTAAGTGGTCTTATAAAGGTAATTAAGATTTAAATAGAAGTTATGAACCTTGTTCTCTTCTTCGTAAATATATACTGCGCACAAATAACTTAGGATCACTACCATTTGAAAAGTGTTATAGTATTTTTATTACCCCACGAATTACTTGTACAATGACTATAATTTTAATTTTTTCAACGACCACTTTTATTATTTTTACATTCACAGTTTAAAATATTCCATTTTGTTTTCACAAAAAATAATAATCAACCTCAGGTATCTTTTTGACCGTTTTCATGTCCGTCTATCGAATTTGAAGGCAAAATGAGGATTGTGTGACCCTTCTACGAATACCAAAATTTGGTTAAAGGAAAAAAGACAAGTTTTTCTCCTGGCTTTTAGATAATGAATAAGTACATGTAATGTGTGAACTCTGTTCTCTGTAATTTCAATTTTATAATTTAATCTGAATTTCTGACATTTGAGATGACGTGTTGGCATTATTGTCCTCATTTCCCCTTATGATTGTCGACTTAATTGAAATTTTCTACTAGTTAAAAATCTCCCCATCGATTATATTTTCCCAGTTGTAATCTCTATTCGCTTGATTTACAAAGAACATTTCTTGTTGGAAATCTTAATGCAGTTGTAATGGAAATATGTTTTGATGATCGTTAACTTTTTGTTCAGTTTAATTTTTGAATATAAAATAATGTGTTCCTACGAATCTCAACATTGTGAAACGTATCAAAGAAGAGATAGCATTGGCTGATACCCTCAAAATGGCTTTCATATTACATTTGAAGCTACCTCTATACGTGGTATTCAATTTGTCGTATGTTTCACATTCATTTAAAAACAACCCAAGGAATCTGTGAATTAAATGTTGATTTTTTTGTTCTACGTTTCAACAAGTTGATAAATATTGCTTGAATAAAAATTTAACGATTTTATTTCATTCTGTTATTTTCAAACAAGACTTTGAATATTATCGTTGTTTTCAGTGAGTACGCCTTCTTTAATGATGGACGATACATTGACAGATTGTTATATATATGGATGTACAAGGACTGAATCAGAAGAAGACGAATTTAAGCCAAAATATAAATACTTCGAGAATATACGAGACTTGAGACGAGACAGAGATTTGATAGTGAAATTTAGGTACAGTCCTAGTTTAAAAAGAAGAAATAAGGAAAAAGAAAAGAAACAAGAATTGGCGAGACCAACGGTTAAGTTGAAATCTGAAGACATTACGACATCATCATTAGCATGATCTATCTTAAGAACAAAGCTATACATATTCTACGTTGTTCCAAACACATTCCATGATTGACTTGAAAGAGATTTTCATTTTCAGAAAAAAAAAGAAGAATATTTAGTTCATCCACTAATGTTAAAAAGAGATAAAAAAGTGATGTGGCCAGTATCATGATTAGATATGTATGTACAAATTAAAGTTTTCTTCGCGTCTGAAATTTCCGATACGCGTGAATTGCTGGACTTTCATTACAATTAACTATAAAATGCAAATAACCTGTGCTATAGTAAAGAAGACTTTTTGGCAACTTGTTGATCTTTGGCATAGACACAACTTAGGTAACATTTTAAGTACGTTATTTTATGTGTTTAATTCTATGCCTATTTAGAAAATACGTATACAACAATATCAATAAAATTAGATATCCATGCGCATACCTTCCAATAATGTGCAGCTCATTGTAAAACTAATTAAACAACTGAAAAATACACACATTGCTATACTATGAAACTTTCTTTTAAAGCGTTTTCCCCTTATAAAATAAGTTCATTCTTGGCATAATATTTGAATAACATATTTTTATTTATTTTAAACTAAGATTTGGATAGTCATTGTAAGATAAGTATAAAAATCAATGTCTATGTCATTGCGTATGAGCTTTGTTTTGAACAAGTGTTTAATGGCCCTTCTCGACTGAGTAAGAACAAATGATACTTATAATTCACAATGCTTAAGAAATATTAGCTAATATAGTATTCGTCCATAAAATGCATGAATATTTGCAGTGGAAGTTAAACAAACATAAGTCATTTAATAGTTACTTTAATGATAATATAAATATACTATAATGTAAAATGACCATTTTTTTTTATTTAACCATTGTATCGTCGCACAAATTTTATTTTGATCGCTGGCGATCTGCGACATTTTGTCTGATAATAAATATGATGTTATTAACTTCACAAACATATATTTTAACCAGATATATCATATCACTAATCAAAACCAAAACTAAAAACCATGATTTTTTGCATCACTGTTCTGATTTAATACCTTAAATTGTTGACCGCTGTACTCCTATTTTTGACCTTTTTACCTATTATGTCTGTTTGTTTTGCTCACACATTGTTGACAATATAATGGAATTTTATGCGACTGTCATACACGTGAGAGGTTTAGCTAGCTGTAAAACCAGGTTTAATCCACCATCTACATGAAGCAATGCCTGTACCAAGTCAGGTATATGACAGTTGTTTTCCATTCGTTTGGTGTGTTCGAGCTTTTGATTTTGCTATTTGGTAAGGCACTTTCCGTTTTGAATCTTATTTCGAGTTCGGTATTTTTGTTATTTTACTTTTTTAAAGGGATAGTCACACATTTGATACCTTAAAGGGATAGTCACAGATCTAATACCTTAAAGGAATAGTCACAGATCTAATACCTTAAATGGATAGTCATAGATCTAATACCTTAAAGGGATAGTCACAGATTTTGATTGAAGGAGTAGAATTGTTTTTCTATTACATTGTGCAGAAGTAATATGAGAATTCAAAACTAAGATAAGTTAAATAAACGAAGCAGATGGTATACTTCCATAAGACAGGAAACCAACAACACAATAAAGCAAAAAGGGGATATCTAGAGACGAACATAATGTTGTCTGTAGATTATGTTAAACTCTAAATCAACCCGAGTCTAAAACCATAAGAGGACGAAAAATAGATTTCGAAGCACAAAACCAAACAGTTCTGCTTAATCTGTTGTTTTAATTGCCTGAATGATATCCTTGTGTCCACATTTATCATATGTACCAGTCCTAATGTTTGGGGTGCAAACTAGTGGAATTTTATGTTTATATTGCCACGGTATAAGACATTCTAAATATTTCATAAGTTGCAAGTCAGTTAAAGTCATATACGAATTAGAAAAAAACTGATATAATTAATGTCTGGTTTATGAACAATGAATAAAGTACAAAGATAAACCAATGTTATTGCGTAAAGCCCCGAACTGAATACATGTATTCACGTAAACGACAAGGTCAATGTTATTTTTTTTTTTGTATTCAAGACTTTTTTTGCTTTTCGGATGTTAACATAGTTCTTTACATTTTTAGACACACCAAAAAATGATATCATAACGTAACATCTAAGATAATGTCATCGAAAAGTATACGACCATTAGATTGTAATTAACATCTATTTTTCTATGATCACCTTGTCCGTATTATTGTTTTTGACGAAGTAACGTTTTTCGGGTATTTATACATAAAATTTTATCTGTTAATGCTGTAGTATGTGGTTGTCTCACAAAATGCTTAATCAAACGGTAACAGAATATTTTTATTTTGAATGTTGCGATGGAGATCTAATCATCGCACAAATATTACCAAAAACTAAACTGAAGTGATCAAAATAGTTACATGATTTTAAAGAGATATTTTTGTTAAATAAATGTTGTATATTATAATGACTCTTATTTATTCATCTTTCGTCTTGAAATGCATTTTAAAAGCAATTGGACTCAATACGTAAACAACTTTTTCAGCGAAAAACACAAAGAATATTGGGTTGATTACCTGACTTTCTCATTATATTCTAGGAGGTAATCAATACATGAAATGGAAGCCGCTTTTAATGATGATCATAATTTTGATGGTTATATGAAGGTCTTAAACTATGAACTGAAGCGCGAATATAAATGTACTAACAGCTCCTAGCGTCGAATAAGGTTGCCCACTTTGGAATTTATACATAAGCGCTACATATTTATGTCATTGAAGAAACATGTGCACGAAAAAAGATAGGTTGTTGACAACAACCGTAAAAAATCACAGATAATGCGGCGTTCACACAGTGCCGATTACGACTCCTGTTTGACATCAGACAGCGCTAAGACACGAAAAGTGAAAAAGTCGGATTACTATCCTCCACGATCTGGAATGTCCTGCCATTGTCTGAACGAAGGCGTATACTTTCGTAATAGATTCCTACGGATCGGAGAGGTTGGCCAAGCACCCCGACAGTTAGGTGCGTCTCGTAACATTCGGGGAAACTAAGCCGATTTTGTCTAGTCGGATTACAATCGTGACTATGTCGTGACAGATTCTGCTGTATCGGATTAAATCGTAACAATGTTCTGTGTTTCCTGGACGGTGTCCGTGGACCGGGCATGATCTGGAGAAAAATGTTATTGCTGTTTTTGGCGATTGAATCTAGATTGCATTCAGAATTTGCCGAATGCGAACCGTCTTTGTTCAGGAACAGTCCCGTTATTGATACAAAATTCGACAATAATACCAACGTCAGAGTCCCGACAATTACAGAACACGATACGACTGACTCAAGTCAAAGCCGTTTGTAATACGATACAGCAGACTGTGATAGGATTGCGTTTTGACAGAACCCGGATCATCCCGAAAATGGCGATTTTTCTATTAGACGGGATTATCATTTGAAACGGATTTCTATCGGATTTCTTCCGTCAGCGTCGGTTCACTGTCTGGTCACTGTCTGATCTCTGTTGGATCGCATTTGGCAGAATAGGGACGATGTCGGGACAGATTCTGTCTTTTTTTAAAATGCGAAAGATACAAATCGGATGAGAATCGGATTGAGAACGGGATAATCGGCTCAAATTCGGCTGGAAACGGCTGAATTTGGACGCTTTCAGAACAATATCTGATTGTTGTCGTGATTAAATAAATGGTTTTTTTTCAAATTTTAATTAAAGTTTAAATTTCTAACCACGATTCACAGGATCTTGATCAGATCTTTTACAAATTTTAATCGGGAATGGTCCTATCAAGGACGGCAGTAAACATCGTGAGTGTGTGACCCCAGCTTAAGCTGGCAATCATAGGACATCATTAAGTTTATTATAAAAACTCATCAAAGATAACAGGCTTAAGATTTACTTACTCAACGGCGGAACACGAATAAAAAAAGATTTTGGAGGCCAAATCAAACACAAAGTTTGAGAGCATTATAAAACAAAAATGTACAAAGTACGACTAAGGTCATCTATGCCTTGGGGTAGGAATACCTTAGTGATTCGAATAATTAAAAATTTTATGCACAGAAAGTGACAATTTCAATCATTTTTCATGTCAACACAAAGTGCTAACTATTCGGCTGGTGATCGACCTGGTGGTTGTAAACACTCATCAAAGATAAACTCATCATAGAAACCAGGATTGAAATTGAGTGCGCCAGACGCGCGTTTCGTCTACAAAAGACTCATCAGTGACGCTCGAATACCAGCGGCTCTTTTCACAACAAAATCTTACGACTTAAAATTTATCGTAAGTTATACTGAAATGTATGACTTACGAGTATTTGTTCTAATATTTTTTGTGAAATTAGTCCCTAGCTAATAATTTGGTACACCAGACGTGCATTACGTCTACAAAAGACTCGTCAGTAGCGCTCGAATCAAAACAATTGGAGGCCAAATTAAATAAGAATTGAAGAGCAATGGAAAATATACAGTTCAAAATGATTATATTTAAAGCATATGGAATGGGTTGCTGTCTAATTGACTCATACCATATATCTCCTTTCAGTCATATGCATTTATGATTTTCAAAGTTAAACTTTGCCGGAAATGAATTGCTATGTTGAGCGTAAACAGGGAATGGTATCAGTTAAACTCTCAATAACTTTCTTCCTTTTCATGTTTCTGATCTTGAAGGTAACCATTACATTTATTTTTTATATAAGAATTTGATTTCAAATGAAACGATGTCTTTTTTCCCTTCTACAAAGAGAGAAATAGTGTATGCTTGTTTTAACATTTTGGGACTGCTAAGAAAACTGCATATTGCAAGGAAAATCAAAAGAGTTGAAATTCCCAAAGATTTTAACTATTTACAGAAATTGTTTGTTTTGAATGCGCTAATCCATTTCAATCAAACTCGCCATGAAAAATCCGTATAGGAAATGAATGAATGGAGAAATGGGGTTTATATATATATTTTAATGAGACAGCAACCAAACGACAAAATAACCAAGAAGTCATCTAGCGAGCATGATTTAATGTCCAAAAAAATACGCTTGAACGTCCCGAGGCTATATGAGATTGAATATATTAAGCAAGCAGAAACACCAAATTCCCATAGATAGTGATAGTGAGTTGTATTTTGAACCGCCAACCTCGTGCGCACTCATTATGAAAATACCAAATGATTTGAAAGCGCTTTTAGGCACCATGAAGTTTGAAGGAAAAGACACGGAGTGGAAATTTACCGCCAGTTCTGACCAGGTTACAGTCCAACTCACCTGGATCAAGGCAAAGGACCCGGATACCATATCCAGGAACCTTAAGCCGGCCCTACAAAGAAAACAGGAGACGAAATGCCCAGCGTTTCACACAGTGGATGGACTCCAAAAAAGCTGTATTTTCCTCTGCTACCCATGAACCTACCACCAGTACAAGTGCAGACAACATCTGTCAGACGCAAGCCAGGGACACAGTTATTGGTATTCCACTAACACCAACAAAGTATCGTGGAGAACCAGAGGGAGTCAATATCAAGACGGACATTGTCACCAGTCCATACAACTCCCAGAAGGCATGCGATCGCCCTACTTCTACACTCCATCTAAACCTAGAAGTAATCATTGTAGAATAGATTTTACAGAGGGGTTTGACATCGATGGCCCCGATCTATTTCGTACACCATCTCATACATCTCCGATATCCTTGCGAGACCCAGAGGGCATTTAAACTGCCTTTGCCCTACAAGAACGGCCAAATACTCCGTACCAACCTCAACCACTAGGTCGGAGCAAGAAAAAGGGAAAAAAACAGCAGATCCATCACTGCAAGAATAGGTCCTTGAAGTCCTCAATATCTACCCAGATAGCCGGACACTAAAACCCAACATCATCATCACCAAATTCTCAAAATTACATTAAGAAATGACAGAATGCAACTACTGACGAGGTTCCTTACTATGAGAGGAACATGGATTATGTAGCGGGTTGTGTTCCTTACTGTGAGAGGAACATTGATATGGCACATGGATATGTAGCGGGCTGTGTTCCCTATTTTAACAGGCATATTGATATGTAGCGGGGTATGTTCCTCACTTTGACAGGCACATGCATATGTAGCGGGGTTTTGTCATGAAATAGAAGTTCCTTTATAATACTGATAAGTTCCAAATCGAAAAACTATTCTGTAATATTATTCCCTATGGAACAAATATCATGTGTTCCTGACAGAATAAAGATTATAGAATATTTGTTCAAATAGGAATAAAGATTATAGAATATTTGTCCCAACGGGAACAGATATTATAGAATTGTTTATAACAAAGTTTCAAGTGGAAATTCTGTAAGGCGGAACAAATATACATTTACATTGTGTTCCTTACTGTGAAAGGCACATGGATATGAAGAGGGGTGTCTGCATCCTAATTGTATCGGAAATTAATAGACATTAACAAAAATGCTTTAAATATAAATAACGACCATGGGGATTGGTGTAAACGCTATTACTCTGATACAGAAATCTCCCTTCCAGGTTCTACATAATCCTCTTTGGAATTGTCCCCCTTAGAATCGGATGAGATTTGTTGTCAGGTATTGAATAAGGATGCAGTATACCAATGTCCATTCTTGTCATAAGTCAAGTAACAATTATGAGTCGATAGAGTCAGAATTGCACGAACATTTCGCACAAAGTCTAGTTAATAGAACTATCATACTTTTGAAAGGATTGATTAAATTAACATGTTTTTTTTTTAATTTCAGCGGTCAAATAATAGCCCTTGTTAAGTTGTTATACTTCCTCCATTTGCCATTCATATTTGATTCAGGTCTTTACTGTTAAACTATAGATAAGCGGCAACGGTAATTTACGATGTTCAAATCTCGTAAATCCATTTAGAATACACAAATAAAAATTAAAAAAACTGAAGGAATTGCATGAACTTCTTCAATATTCCAAATTAGTTCATTACATGAAGTTATTGTAGTATTGCCCAAGTGTTGTCAGTGTCGGGGAATGTTGATGAAGGAGACTAACAGCCTTTGTTGTATGTGCGTTTCCGGTTCGTCTACTATTAAACCACGAATATCGGAAGACATAGGAAGCTGCTTCTAATTTCGGAAGAATCTCCTTCATAAAATTCAGTTGAGTAGTAGTTGAAGTGCTATGTGGGCAAGCGAATTCCGTAAGCCATATGGGTTTGTGATATCTGTCCCATAGTTGTTTTAAATA